AATCGATTGCTCGTATATTCAAGTCATTTCTGTTGACCGCACAATAAGCGTTTTTACGACTTCTATGCTTACAAGATGCCAATATGCAAGCTTTATCCTTCTATTATCTATCAGACGTAAGATGCTTCGCGCGGTGTGCAATCACACATATCATGTCACTGACTTCAATATAAATTTTTTTTAGGAATTACCTTTTGAATAAGATTGGTCCATAGCGGATCAGCTGGCCAGTCTAATTCATTTTCTGCTGGTGGCTGAGCCGTTGTTGTAGTAGGCTTGTGATAGCGATGATGATGATGACCTAGAATAAAAATGACGTATAAACATCCTATTATGATAAAAAAAAAGCACAAACCATAGTCTCCAACATGAATGATCATTTTTAATTGATGCGTTGAGCAGAGGCCACCTTTTCTGTTGTCTAAACCCCATGGAGTTCCGGTTGAGGTGGCTGAAGAAATACGGTAAGTCTCGGGAAAATTACTGTATCCTTTGAGCTTCAGTGTAGTGCAAAACTTACTTATAAAGTAATACGTATGTCCAGGACGATAATCCAAAGCCGATGGATTAGGGCTAAGCAGCCGGAAGGAAACTTTGACCTTGTCTCTTCTCATTGGTGAAATACATCGACCCAGTTCACGTGCAGCCGATGAAAGGGTGCAAGTTTCATAGTCAGATTCGGAAACCTAGAAAAATCAAATTTTTATTCCTCGAAAAAAAAGAGTAATTATGAGCTTACCCTATAGATGATGCTTTGCTCAGTGTCTGTAAATTCCACATCATTCTGTTCGTAGTATGGGCAAATTATATCCATCGCATCACCAATGGAAACGTAACGTTCAAGTCTAAAATGTACTTCATAAATTATTTTTGGAAAAGAAAACTACAAATTGTCACATTTTTGTTCGCAGAGTATAGGTGAAAAAATGAAGTTACTGCAATTTTTTCTCGATTTTTTACAGTATTTTGTAGGTGTGAATTAAACGACACTGACTATTTTGCGATTAAGTTTTGGAAGAATTATAAATTATAATAAACTATATAAGAGCAAACAATCCGCCTGCACATTTCGTCTGATCTGATGCAGAAACTCAAATACTTTACTCGTAATTTTTTCAATTTTTTGAGAATTACCTCTACTTTTTATTATTATTTGAATATTTTACTTTACTTTACTCTGTATTGCCCAGTGACCATTGCACCACATCCCATTCTTCTAGGCAAATTCACACCTCATAAAAAATGTCGGTAACACAGTTCTTTACATAAATACACTCGGCAGGGTGCCATAAATTACCGTAATCCCTTTGGCAATCAAGCCTTAGGCTAAAAACATGCGGCGAATGTAGTGAAAGGTTGTAGAGAGTTGTAAATAACTTTGATACAGTGCGGGCGCTTCTAAAGGGTCTTTGAAGTTGTTTTGTGATTACTGTAATTACCGTATATGGATTGATAGATGCCTGTGTTTCCGGGAAATTGTCAATTACGTACTGATTTCTTCAAGTTTTTAATTGATTCGTAAAATTTCCTGGCTTTCTTTCCTTGCAGAAGTGTCTTGAAGAGTTTTGTACAATTTTTTCATCTTAGAAAAGGATTACGGAGTTCAATTACAAGTTAATCATGGTTTA